AATGTCAAGGTTTAATTTCATTGAATATTTCATTTTTAAAATAGTTTTTAACCTCAATTATCGTGCTATATAATTAATCGATCAATTTTGAAGCAATTAATATTAAAATTATTCACGCTAAAAAATTTTATTCATTTTATGCCAAATAGTTATCGAGTTATTACAAAACTTTAGTTTACGTATTCAATAGATGAATTTTTTTCTTCACAATTTTATGTAAAAAATCAATGTAAATTATATAACAAAGTGTTTAAAAAAAAAGAAAAGAAAAGTAATTTGTTAACGCTAAAATATATTAGGAATTAAATTTAACATTTAGTTAGGTAATAATCAATATTTCACTACAGTTTCAAAATTATTTACGATTAATCGAACGAATGGGAGATATTTAATTAGGAACAAGTCTTTAATAAGAGATAATAAGAATTGAACAGTTGTAACAATTCTAATAAAATAATACTTTTTATGCCCTATGAAAAAGAAAATTAATTATATATTTAGAAAAGTTTTTAAAATACTTAATAAAAAGGATTGTAACTCTAGGTTAGCATAAAATGAAAGTTTCGAAAAAAGTAAAAGTAAATTATTTGAAAAATTAAATCCTATGATCTAAGAGCCTTTTAATAATTATATCTAGTGTGAAGAAAATTGATAAAATCTTTATGTTCACTAATAATTAAATTCTTTCCGTTTGACTAAATTAAAAACTGGGCCTACACAATGTGGACCTATTTAATGTTGACGACGGGAGTTTAAAAATTCATTCGTGACACTTCGGTTAAACATGTAATGAGGAGGAATGAAGCGAGCTCGAGGCATGGAGATGAAGATAAAAAATTTTTTAAAGAAACTCGGAGCGGCGCCGAAAAAGAAGAGAAAGAAATCGAATTGGTAGGGAGCCTAAGTACTCGTGAGTCTGTCACTGTTGGCAGCCTCACGGAAATAAGCTAAAGCTTCGAGTGATGTAGGATACGAGACTTTTGCCCAACTGCCAAGGCTTTTCAAGGCTTTGTACCTTCGTGCTATTATCGACGCCGAAAAAAAGTGACTGCGACCAACAAAAATATTTGGGTCATCCCGTTCTCTCTCGTTCTTACTCTTTCATTTCGAGATGCTCGTATGCCTGTTTACGGGATCCCATGGTACTCGCAGCGGCAACAAAGAGCAAAACGGGGAAGAGTTGGTTCCAGCCTATGACGACTACGGGTGGTTAAGATTTCGCAAGAAAGTCGATATTCCTCTTGCTCGAGCTGCGAACGTTCCTAGGAATCTGCGAAAGAGAGAAGCGAAAAATGGCATCCGGCTGAAAAATAATGTTAGACGTCTCAGCTGAGCGGGAATGTGTTCGTCAGCACTTGGAAAAACTTACTGCCACATACGTCTTTGTACGTTATTTTCCAATTCATCGGTTAATGTCTGTATATCGCTTGTCAGTTTTTTTTTTTTTTTTTTTTTTTTAAGCATCGTGTAGAGTAAAAGGATTCCATGTAACGGGAATTGAATATTTCTATTTTGAAATTAATCGTGATTAATTAATAGGAGATCGCAGATTGTATATTCAAGTAATTTATGTATAAATTTACAACGTCATGAAAGCAAGTGAACTGAAATACTAAATTAATCAATTTTACAATTATTTTTATTTCTTTTTTTGTTTTGTTTTGTTTTTGTTCCCATCTAATTTATTAGTGATAACTTTAATAAATATGTTTCATAATATCTATAAATTACGCAGCATGATTGGAAAGTATTTACTTTTACTTGTAGATGCTCAGTTAAGAAGCACACATTACTTTAATCTAGTTTTTTAACCGGTTAGTTTCTAAATCATGTTACATATACTATATTGAATATTACGCATACATATCCCAATACTAAACATAGTTTCTTCAATAATTCTCTGCAACAATACAACGTTTTTAGGTATCCAATGGATGCTTAAGGAAAGTTCCGGAGATGCAAGGACTAAATGCTAATTAGACGAAAACTCGTCAGAGAGTGTTTTTTATGCACAATAATGAAAATTGTCTGCTGCCCGCATCTGCTTCTTCTAAACTTCAGAAATTCTTTTAAATTAGAGCCAGTTGTCGGTTATATATTTACGATTCTTGAACAATACTATAATTAGCAATAAGTACTTGTTATATGAACTTTCACTTACCAGTTATATTTTTAACATCATCGTTCGATTAAGTATTCAAAAATATATTAGCAAATGTAGGAGGAAAGAAGTGGCAAAAAATAATCCTTATTCAAATGCTAAATATAATTGTTGGGAAAGTGCCGCTAGGCATTATTAGCATTATCATTCGATACAAACAAATGCAGAATTTCATCTCTGTTCTATTTCAAGAAATAAAATTCACTAAATTATGAGACACAAAACTATATTGTTTTACCAAAATCCATTCATCCGAGAATAGTTTAAAACTCTTGTACATACTGACTTATGAAATTGTAAAACTTACCAGCCACATCGAAGCTTAAAAAATTACATATATTAAAAATACAGTATTTTAAATAAAAAATAGCCAATAATTCAAACTTATATTTATTTCATTTTAAATGAAATATTTCACCCATTGGTTTTATGATTTTACATCAAGAAACGTTCGGTTGTAAAAAAATCCGTGAGAAATTCTGTTCAAATTTTATACATTCTATCGCGGAAAAAATATATTAATAAACATTTATTATCATAGAATTGAGTAAATTAAGTAAATGAATTTAGTAATGCTATTAATTGGTTAATTAACATTTATGCATATAAATGAGAGACTATCGAATGTGTAAGATCACTGTTTAGTTGCATATCCTTAAGGTATTTCTTAATCAATGCATTAAACATAAAAAATTTATCGTCGTTATATTTTTAATGATTATTATTAATATTCAAATTATGAGAAAAATTATAATTAACTACTTAATTAATTTTCGTATAAGAATATGCATAAAAATTAAATTTCAGACATTAGATACAAGTATTATTCTTCTAACATTAATTTAGTCGATTAAATTATACTTTACTATATTATGAATATAGTATAATTGAATTACAATAGATTTACTTATGTCATATCACGATTATACTTGCGCCAATAAATATAGAAGTTGTACATATTTATATTAAACACACAAGAAGTTTTAAAAATTAAAAATTATAAAAACTTTTTTTCTATTATAAATCGTAATATGAAATTCACTTAGTATAATATTTAAAGCTCAAGAATTTAAACAGTCTATTAGCAATTTTATTTATACACTTTTTTTATTCATTATACTAAAACGTAAAATTATGATAAAATTATAAATTTTAGATGCGAATATACTCGACAAAATTTATAGGTTAAGATGATGTTGAATATATAGTTTGTCATTAATAGAGTTTGCCGAAAGATGTAGGCGTATTTGTAATGAAATTAATTTTTACGATGAAATTTCAGTAAAACTATGTAAAAAAATTTTATCGATAATTTATAATTGGGCTATATAAGCTTTAAGAATGTAAAAGTCATCGTTTACTTGTTAATTTTGTATAATGTATTAATATATATATATATATATATATATATATATATATATATATATATATATATATATATATATAGATATATATATCAGTCACATGGTTTTGTCCCATATTGTAAATATGTAATAAAATTAGAAAATTAGAAAATCGCCTATAAAAAAGCATCTTAGAAATAAATTCTTTGAAATTTACCTCTCGTGAATGTATGTTGATTTTAATGCACTGGATGACAGACTGTTCGACATGACGGAACCCATACAACTACTCGTTTATATGATCGACGATATGAACTTGCATCTTTTTCGGCTCAGAACCCTTCTTCATCGTCGAATGTCACTTCTTATTGACATGATGATTATGTGTCGGCCTACCGCTTGCGCACAGCTGATCATTAATACTCATGAGTCGATCGAAGTTTAGCTTTATAGAAATAAAGTTTACGTTTATTCGTACTTATGACATCATTCAATGGCGCATTCAATCACCATTATTTAATTACCGCGTAAAATGAAAGAGAGATGTATTTTTAATGTTATTGATGAAAATTATGGAAAAATATCATATTTTTAATGTCTTCGTAAAATGTTGCTGTCTTGTAATTGCATTGAGTTCGATTTAACGTTCGTCTGAAATGTAATCCAATATTTCGCCAAAGAATTATATTTTCATATTTCATATTAATTCTATGAACTGGAGAAATATAATTTTATAAGAGTTTTATAAGTAAGAGCATTAATTCTCTTTGAGGAACAAAGTTTTTTGTTTCAGTAAAGTTATACTTTAAAGCAAATAAAGATGTAAAAGTACAATGTTTTTATTGTCAGATTATGCAATCAATTTTATTTATTTATAGATTTATATTGTACGATTTAATAAAATGTTAGGGTAGTACGTAATTCAGCCAGTACTTTACACTCCTCACAAACTACAATAATTCCATTGTTTAATTTTATCATCAGCTATAACTTTTTGTTTTTTATGTATTTAGTTTTTTTTTTTTTTTATTTGTTTGTTTGTTTGTTAATTCCTTACTAAGTATTTAACGGTTTTAGTATTTTCAGTCGCAAGTAAATTTTATGTACCGAAAAAACGGTAAAAAAATCATATTAAGAATGAAGAATATAAAACAAAGAAATGTTTTAGCGAGGAAGGAAACAGGGATCACTACGAGTGGTCTACGCGACGCGTTCATCTAAAGTGTAAAAGGTGAGGATGACCAGAAGAAAAAGCGACAAGGGTTAATAAAGAAAGGTAGGAGAAAGGAATAAGGAGGCGAATTCAAGAGATATTCGAGTGTGCTGATCTCCCAGGAGCGAAACAGTCAACGAGTGAGAGAGAGAGAGAGAGAGAGAGAGAGAGAGAAAAGAATAAAAGCAAAGTGCGTTAGTAAGACGAAGAGCGAGAGATTTGCAACAGCTCTGTGGCATCTTGTAGGTGATGGGTCCCGTCGACGGGCCGCCGAGTGGGGCCCGCGAGAGTCTGGCCGTATAAAAGGGGGCCTCAAGACAACTACGGAGCATCAGTCCTCAAATCAAGGAACAGCAGCAACCATGAGGGCATTCATGGTAAGTTAGCCCCAGTAAGAACACTTACGACATGCTAACTGTATATAACACACTTGTAACCCACTACATCTTCCTTTCCCTTTTCTCCGCGATTACATCTCGTCTCCTTCCTCGCTTCCACTTCCTTCTCTCATACTTAATACTCTTATACTTTGCGTTAGTCCCGTTTGAGCGAATTCCAGTCACTTTTGATTTTTAAAGTCACTTTTACTCTTAGTTTTCACTCTCCGTTTTATTCTACGCTTTTCTTAAATTGCTATTTTATTAAATTTTTGACGAACGAAAGCAAGTTTTACCGCTCTACTTCTACGGCAAAATAAGCACAAATTTAATTATCGCGTTGTCCGACTCGCCTTTTCATCTTGGTGATGGTAGTGATGGTGAGTGGGAGGGGATGGTTAGGGGGCGGTGGGAGGGGGGGGGAGGAGGATTTGAAATAAACAATCAAACAATAAACTCATGCTCAGGCAGACATAAAGAATTTAATAATTTTAGCCTCGTTCGAGCCTCTCTTCTATTCTATACTCACTCTCACTATTCCCTCGAACATCCTCAGACCTGAACAGAACATCGAACATAAGATTTGTCGAGACGAGGGGTTGAAGTGTCGCATATAACGTCATAGGGAATTTTAAGGAAGTGCATTTACGAGTACCCCTTAAAAAATTTGCAGATATTGGCGCTCGCCAGTGTGGCGCTCGCACGACCCGAAGCCGGGTACTCGTACCAGCAACCAAGTGTACCAAGTGGTAGCTACGGCGCTCCGGGAGGCTCTTTCGGAGGTGGCCACTCAGGCGGCGGCGGTGGCGGTGGCGGCGGCGGCGGTGGTAGCATCGGTGGATTCGGTGGAGGCGGCCACGGTGGTGGCGGCAGCATCGGCGGATTCGGAGGCGGTGGTCACGGAGGTGGAAGTGGTATCGGCGGTTTTGGAGGCTCCGGACACGGAGGCAGTGGTGGATTCAGTAGCGGCGGATTCGGAAGTGGAGGCGGCGGTGGATTCGGAAGCGGAGGCGGCGGCGGCGGCGGCGGCGGCGGCGGCGGCGGCGGCGGATTCGGAAGCGGCAGTGGAGCCGGTTTCGGAGGTGGCACCCTCATTCAGAAGCACATCTACGTCCACGTGCCTCCACCAGAACCCGTCGAAGACCGACCACTTCGTACATCGCCTGCCCTTGCCCCGGCCCAGAAACACTACAAGATAATTTTCATTAAGGCCCCGACTCCACCAACCCCCGCTGCTCCCATTATCCCAGCTCTGCCAGCACAGGACGAGCAGAAGACCCTCATCTACGTCTTGGTGAAGAAGCCCGAGGATGCACCCGAATTCAATCTGCCCACAGTTGCACCAACCCAACCAAGCAAACCTGAAGTTTACTTCATCAAATACAAGACTCAGGTATAAGAGCGTACACACACTTTCTTCTTTTCGATAATTTGACGGTTTATTTTGATAAGTAGTTATGAAGAAAGAAAGGAAGGGAAATAAAAGACGGAGAAAATGAAAAACATTTCAAATTATTGGGGGAGGGGGGGGGGCGGGATTACGGATAATTAAGAGATTCCCAGCAATGTTTAATTAATTTACATTCAGAGTTTAATCGGCAATTTTGTCCTCTTTTCGCATTAAAAATAACGCTCTATTTTATTAATCCATACGAATGAATTGCATAAAGATAGAAGTGGTTTTATCATGATCAATAGTGTTATTAGAAAAATACTGAAAGTTCAAAAGTTTTTACGAGCGATTTTATGTACGAAAGAATATTATACGAGTGTTGAAAAGCTTATTTATTATAAGTTAGTAGTAGGGAGTGAGAAGGGAGCTGATTAAAAAAGAGTTGCTGCTGATTATTGGAATGCACGAAGTGAATGCTCGTCAAAAGTCATAAAGTGACGATGACGTTTACATTGGCATTGCAGAAGGACGGAGGTAGCGGCGGCAGCGGAATCGGCGGAATCGGCGGAATTGGCGGAATCGGCGGAATTGGCGGCATCGGTGGTGGTGCTGGTCACGGAGGACTCGACGGTGGACTGGGCGGTGACAGCGGTCTCGGCGGTCACGGCACCGGTGGTCACGGATCGGCTAGCTCCGGCAGCGGAACCTCGTCCGGGCTGAGCTCGAGCTACGGGGCCCCGGGAGCCTCCGGACCTTACTAGTCAATTCCCCAGCACTTTCCTCCCGGCTTCTTCTCCGCCCAGCTTCCTCAGCAGTAACACCACGACAGGCACTACCACGACAACCCCCTCACCAGTACCACCATTACCACTACTACTACCGTCACCACCACTATCACCACTACGTCCACCACCACCACCACCACCACCACCACCACCACTACAACCACTACCACTACCACTACCAGCAGCAGCAGTAGCAGCGCAATCACCACCCTTTACTGCAAGCCATGCGTCATCACCCATTACGAGCACAGGTGGAGACGGGCGAGATGAGTCCGTTGTAAAATAGTCCAAGCGACGAGTTAACGTCGAGTTTAAGGAGACGATGAGAATGCCAGAGGCGTCCAACCGAAGGAGCCACGACGAGGTCGCTACGAGTGTAGCTACCACTGGCCTTCTGCGACTGTATTATATTAATGCGAGCGAAATCACGCCGAGATGTGGATTATCGGCCATGAAGAAGATGCGTCGGTGCCTACCCGGGGACTCGCAAGCACAGAGGCGAGATGCCCGAGGTCGGACAAAACTCATGTTTTTTTTTTATATCTATTTTTTGCAAGAAAACGGTGGCAAAATAAAGCTTTCTTATGTATTTTTTTACATAAACACAAAATCAAATGGCTTCTTTATTATACGAGTCCACCCTCACCTCAGCCTTAGCCTTATAAGTTTGCGAATTTCCGAATGTAAATGCGAGCTCGGCCACAGCGACTCCTCATTACTTCCGTATTTATTAAGTGATCACATTATCGATTTCTTGGAATAATAAAGAGGAGGGAATGAAGGAATGCGCGATGCGATTAGAAATTCACATTACGTAGAGAGTCTCGTAGCTTATACGAAACTTTCGATGAGAAGTTTCTAAAGGTAAAATTCTGGGAAGAGAGTATAGCGTTTTTCGGGTCGACAAGCTGGAAAAAGGTCGAGACATTTATCGAACAATAACAATCATATTCGGTCAATCATTGGAGAAACGAGCGTGAATACTTTCACTGATGTGCCTCGAGCGTTAATTACAAGGTGAAAATCGATAAGGGTATCTTTTCCCTCTTATCCTAGATGAACCGTCAAAGTGCAATTCCTCTTTCACTTCATGGCTTTACGAGACGAAAAACGCGAGCTTCCTCGCTCACATTACCGTGCCATCCTGTCCAATCTTCCCGTTTATTTACAAATAAATACAACTACCAGAGAGACCAGAGCACTTGGTAATGACACTTCCTCCGTTTCAAAAAAAAAAAAAAAAAAAAAAAAAACACGCAACGCTCTGACAAATGTAATTTATTAAGTCTAAGGAGACGGGCTCGGGACTGCAATAGCAATGGGAAAATAGAATGAAAAAGAGCCCACAGTTTTATGTAACGCGCCGTGTAAGTTTATACAAAGAGAGACGAGCGGGGAAAGTATTTTGATTTTTATTTTATTATCGAGAGTGAGCCTTTGGGGCGGGGGGGGGGGGGGGAAAAGAAATGGACATAAGGGAAATATCTACACTTAAAGTAAAGTCGCGTGCGCGTATGCAGGAGACCGAACGAGCTAACGTGGGGCGGGAATGGGGTGATGGTGGGGGATTTTGAAGGGGCGGGGGGGGGGGAGAGGAGAGGAGACGGATGATGCTGTTGTACGCGCGTGGAAAGTCACAGTGGAAAGTAGTGTTTTATAATTTATTGAATTGCCTTCGGCCGTCACTGGTCATCGCTAGGAGGTGCAGCGAAAGCAATTTTCCCGCCGCGATCGTCCTCTCCTCGTCGGCTTCTCGAAACATTCGATTACGAGCAAAATAGACTCGGGGGCGAAATGATGCCTGTGAGCGTCGATGCCGATGACCGTCACGAGACGACGCGAGCCAACTTTCACGTATACATTATTACGCGGCTTTTCGGACCGTCGACTTAAAAGTTTGTCACGAAAGGAAGGAAAGAGGCTTGGAAGGTCATTCGATGTCCTCCTTCAGTATAAGATGGGATGGGGGGTTGGCGGGTGGTGGGATGGTAACGGGAAGGGGAAAAGAACGGGATTAAATTCTACGATCTTACTTCCATCTGGGATGGGATGAAATACTGCGAAGTTCAGACATTCGGAGCTTTCAGATTTCCGCTATCAGTCGGCACAATGGACATTATTTATAAGTTTGTTGCTTAATTTCGGCGCGGGTCTTTATTTATCGTGCCAAGTACGCCTTTTGAAAAAATTACGGGCCTGACTTTAGCGCTTAGCCATTATAAGCTTTCATAATCGTATGGACGAAATGCCAATCAAGAAAGTAATTCTCGATTTTACTTGGCCAGATAGTCTTAACTGTCGAGAAAATGATCTTCGATAAAATAAAACGATACACGCGCATATTATTCATTATAGGTACTTGACTGTGCGTGTGTGCGTGTGCGTGTGTGCGTGTGCGTGTGTCTGTGTGCGTGTGTCTGTGTGTGTGAGTGCGTGTGTCTGTGTGCTTGCGTGCTTGCGTGCGTGCATGCGTGCGTGTGTGTGTGTCTTTATTTTGCTTAGGAAAATAAAATTATATTTCGCATTATAAATTTCTTTAGTACATTATATTTAGGTGTATTTTTATATAGATAATATTTTTGTGATTAATGTAATTATAAATATGAAAAAATTTTCTTAGTTTCACTAGGTTAATTTAAAAGCTAATTATCAAAGAAAAGAGACATATTTTTCTATTAAAGACATACACTTCAGGACTACTTATATCATATTGAAATCCAGCATTTATTCTCCCCTCTCCCCTCCCCCGGCAATCTCGCCGTCCCATCCAAATTTTTATTCCTTTTTCTTTCCCTTTTTCTTTCCCTTTTTCTTTCCCTTTTTCTTTCCCTTTTTCTTTCCTTTTTCTTTCCTTTTTCTCCTTTCATTAATCTAGAAATTAGCAATTCAAAAAATAGCCTTCATCCAAACAATGCCAATCTGATTAAATACAAATTATTTGTTATAAAATGAAATTATTTTGTCTTCTACGGCGTGGTGGCATAAGCGAGAGAGGATAAGTTGCGTAATTGCGATAAACTTACTTCATATGAGCGTATATAACATGCATTGTACGAGGCAAGTAAATCGCCAACCGAGAAATCGTTGGCCAAAGAGAGGAATAACGATGTCACTGCCGCTTCCTCGTGACTAATCGCAAAGAAGCCACTTGGCACGAGTGATCCAACGCTATCTTCCTGGTTTTAATGAAATCACGGACACTAAGGATTGCATTATTTTATTCAAACGAGCGATAGCAATCTTGATGTTTTGACAGTCTCGCGCGTGCTCAACGCCTCTGCTAAAATTCTTGTAGTACGCGAGTCGGCGAGTGGATGGATGGGGGCGGCGGGAGGGAGGTAAATTCTATCATAAAATGTATGGATAATAATTTGCGTTTAATGTTATTAAATTTGTTCTGTGAAGGAGAGCGAGAGATTTACGATAATGGGGAATAGATAAATATTTATTTAGAAATGGAAGTGCTTTTAGGATTCTCCCATGGCATATTTTCAATTTCAGTATTAATTTAGTGATTCGATAAGCGGTATTTTGAGTAAATCATACTTCTTTTAATGAAAATCGAAGAAAGTTGTACGATATTCTAATATACTACCGTAGGGTGTAAGAATATTAAGCGCGTTAGCATTTTCCTTAGCTTTCACTTATTTTTCCGATACACAACAAAGGTTCGTCAGTTTAGCGTACTTTCAAACAACCAAATTAATTTTACGATATTAGGTTTAATTTATCGTAAAGCAAACGTTTGATTTTGAATTTATATCAGGCAGCTAATTAATGATGGATAAAAGGCCTATTTATGGCAAGAAATTTCTCCGCACTTCCAATAGATTTACAGAAATATCGTGTTTTGTAAAGTTTTTATTTTTCAAGAGTATATCTTCTTATTGCTAATTTATAAGAAAGTAAACGCTGCTTTCTAAAAACGTCGAGTTCATCTACATCTATTTTTAACTATTTTAATTAATCTTAAATTCCTGCAATATCCATCCCGGATAATATTATTTCGGCCTAGCCGTAATTATTCGTGAATTCGTTCAATTAATTTGCCAGATTGCGCAACGAGCGAGCATCATTTAATTTCATAAATCTCGACGGGCGAGAACGTCAAATCTGCGAAAACGCATACAAAATTACACCGACTATCGTTCCGAATTCACGAAGCGTCGACAAGTCATGGCTTTTGAAGTGTCACTCCGACAAGGTCGTAAGCACATTAGGGACGGCTAATAATTCAGCGATCCAAGAAATAAAAGGCCGAGCGCAAAAAAAATTCCTCGTCCTTTCGCACCAATGGCAGCGAGTTATCGAATAGAAATGTGAATTCGAGGAAGCCGTTGGCTATTTGACCATGCGATGCGGGTACGTATTAGCTTTGTCATTTCTCTCTCTCTCTCTCTCTCTCTCTCTCTCTCTCTCTCTCTCTCTCGCCTGCTTATAAGTCGACATACATCGAAATCCTCACTGGAAGCTAATCTCGCGGTGGAGGAGGAAGACGCTCGAGTTCATGCTGGGCTTTAACGAGAGATAGTGACGATGCAAGTATACGTTCACGGTTGTGCACGCTTGCATTGGTGTATGTTAGAGTGTTGCGTGGCCTTTAGACTGACCCCTGCTTTCACCCGGTAGCGTCTCCGCTATCTGCCGGTCACCTACTTCTTCCAGTACGTTCCGACATCTACACACCAACACGAGCATAGTCGCGGTGACGTAAGCTCTGCAGGAGCGAGACCATCCGTATACGACACGCATTTTACGCATCCATACGTTAACCATAAGCGAGCGAGCCCAAATACTTATGTACGTATGCGTACGTGCGTGCGTACGTGTGTGTGTGTGCGTGCGTGCGCGCGTGCGTGCGTGCGTGTGTACAGAGCTCTGAGGAGAGCGAGAGAGAATGTAAGGTACAAAGCCACGAGCTCTGTTAATTTAATAATTATCTTCTAATATTGCGTCCCATTAATAATGTCCGAGCACGTATTTATTTCCATTATGCAATTGCTCGATACTTTCTTGGATCGTTATTTTTAAAATTTTACAGTGTCATTGAAATTATCTAATAGAGCCCT